TTTTTGATGTCAAGGATTGGGAACCAGGAATAATTTTATTTCGCATTAATGCATCTGGGTAGTAAATTCTTGTTACAGGGAACCGTCAATTTTTTCTCCTTTTAAAAGCATATTATTCGAATCCTAAATAATCCTCCTTTGCCTAATCCTAGTCTCTTTCTTTTTTTATTTTTTTTTTTATTTTCCTGTTTATGGAAAACAGTATAACCTTTCCAAGGCTTGTTGGAGTCTTGCACTGTATAATAATGTCTACAAGTTTATCCCAAAATGTACGTAATCTAGCATCTCGCTGCGATTTATATATAAGTAAAGTACCTAGCTTTCACATATTTAGCTAATTAAATGATGATGAATTGCCGAGTGGTTAATTGTTGTATCGACTCAGACCTAATTCTCTAACTTACTTCAGCTTAAGATTGCGATAGGCCGGATCACTTAATTACTCTGATAAATAAACGTCACCAGCCTCTACCTCTCCATGAAAGACTTATTTTCTTTTTCTCTAATTTACAAAAACAATCCAACCAAGCAGGAGGACAATGGAAACTAATCAGTTGCGACTAAAGAATTATCGTGGCCTGAAAAAATCATAGTACATAACAATTGGCTTTTACCCGTCGCCTATTGAATCCCTTACTAAATAATATTCCTATTTTAACTCATATTTGCTGGATGGGTGCAATTTAATGGCCCACACTGCACCACCATCAGTTGGATTTATCTTTACATTCTTTGGTTGGGAGTTTCTGTCGTTCGGAGATGGGAAAACAGCGTTCGTTCGAGCTTTTATTCGAGCTTTAATCTGACCAATCGTCTCTGTTTTAATTTTGCCCTCCAATCGCTCCCTAATCTGTTAATAAACATAAGGTTTACATTAATCAGTTGCTGAGTTATAAATCCGCTTATCCAGGTGGGCCACATTCCGTAATGATTTGCTCAATGTTATGATATCTTTTTTTTAGTTTTGATCTTACCTCGCTATTTCTCATACGTTTCCAGTGCAAGATGAAAATCAGGACACCCTACAATACAAATATAATTATGGATAATAAGTCTTTTTTTTTTAAAGCACAATATCATGACACGTAAAGAGATCTTTGCGGAACAGAGCAGTTATTAACTCAGCAGAAAATAACTTGTAAGTTTATGAAGGGAGAAAAACAGATGGTTGAGGGATTGACTAGACTTGATTGGCTAAACGGCAAAATGGCTATTAAAATGATAAAAAAAAATTTTAAAAAATTAAAAAACTGAAGGAATGACTGATAGATGGGTAGGCGGAAGTACTGACTAAAGATTGACGGTCTGATTGCTACATTGATTGACTGATAGATGGAATTATTTCGTTTGTTAAGAGTATTCAAGTCTCTAACTTTTATTAGCAAAGCTAAAGGAAATTTACAGCAAACCTGAGTAGAGTTGAGAATGGTAAAGATGTAGGCGAAAGCCTTGTGTAGTGGTGACAGGAGACCAAACAACCAAGTGATGCCAAGAAAGGGAATCATCAGAACACATACTTTGATGCCAAGTCTAAAAGAGGACAAATGATAGAAAATTCCAGCTTTCAGATGACTTTAGCTCTCATCGTTATAACCAAACAGAAAATCATGTAAATGAGCCCTCTCAACCCTCGGACGTACAGGCACAACCTTAC